AAATCTCACCGATATACTCTATTAAAATTTTCTATCATCATTGAATTTTTATTAAAATACTATCAAATTATAAACTTAAGTTTTGGTCCACCCAAACACAAATTTAAATAGATTCTCAATTTAAATAATAACTCAAATGTGCAAATCAAAACACAAACTCAAATTAAACCATACTCAAATACACTTTAACTTAAATTAAAATTTGAACTCAAATCAATTTAACTTTAAAAAATACAAAAGAAGAAGCCCTGATGTTTCACACTTTGTACTATTTCCTACAATAATCGTAGGACTGTTGTGGCAATGGCCATTAAGTCAAAGAGCGTAGATAAAATAGATTGAGAATTTGGGTTAAGAATAAAAAGGATGCGAAATCGATCCCACAACTATATATATAAAAGAGTGTAGACAGGTTACAACATAAACCTATATTACGATTTTTTCTTAAAAAATAAATGGTGTTGACTTATTTACATTAATATCTTATGAGTTGAATACCATATGAAAGCTCTCGACAATAAATTTAATAAAAGTTTATGACACCAACACGAATGAGTTAGGTTCTTATATGTACGTGGAATTAAATGCGGCACACCAACACAAGTGAGTCGTGGTGTGTTCCAAGTGGTGTTCTTTTCCAAATTTACGTTGATGTCCCAAAAGTCAAAACATTGACACAAATGCTTTACTAGCTATTTTTGTCACGTTTCCTTTCAAATTAAATGTCACATTCATCATTATGTTGATAAAATTTCAACGATTAATGATGGCATTGTAACGGCAGATTTATGACATTCGCGAGGGCGAGCAAGAGCTCGCCGCACCAGGTTGCTTGGCCGCCAAGCTCGTGGCTGCTTCGACTGGGCGGTGCTGCACGACGACGATGACCATGCATCATGGCTTGCGAGACTGAAGGCACCACATGCTGAGTTCGGAATCATCTATGTTGTTTGTTTTAACAATCCGAACCAAAAAATTTAATTCAAATTGTAGTTGAAGGTTCAAATTAATGTTTAGTAGAGAACTAAATGAGGACAATCCCTTGATTTTAGAATTGACTCTCCCTTTAAATTCAGAATCTAAATTATTTTTTATAGTGAAAACAATTCAGATTTTACTTTTTATTTTTTCTCAACTTTAAGTTTAAAAATGTCATAACCTTTTCAATTCTGATTGAGGTGATTTTTTTTAATATGTTTATAATAAAGAGAGATAGCACCCCATTCATATTGCATATTTTTTCAATGTCATCTACAATGAGATTTTATAAAATTTGTTACAAAACTTTAATGACAGTTTTCAACATTTTATCCAAATACATTTTGAATTTTATTCCAATCTAAATTATAATTTATTTACATATCTAAACACCAATTTGAATTACAAATTAAATCACTACAACTTAAACTAAATTTTACAATTTGAACGGGGAATCAAATAAGACCATCTGTTTTTTGAGAAGAGAGTATGACAATATCTAGAGATATAAATGCACAATAACCTATAATGTAAGGTATAAGCTTTTTTTTTTTTTTTTTTATAAACTTCAAAATTTAAGATTTTTTTTAAAGTAAAAAAGATAAGATATAAAATAAAAAAGTCCATTTTTGTTTCTTGCTACGACCGGAGAAAATCATGTGAAGCTTTGAACAGTATGTATACAATTTTTCTTTTGGGTGAATTGATGCTTAGAGAGTTAAGTCTCGTTCACTTCGCGGATTTGAGTTTTCAATTTGAGTTGAGATGTGACATTTTCTGAGAGTTTTTCACTGTAGCAGAAAAAGTTAGACCCGTTTAGTTCGTTGATTCGAGTTTTTAATTCGAATTGAGATGTGATTTTATGTGAGAACTTTTTACTGTAGTAAAAAAGTTAGATGTGACTGTTTCTAAGAACTTTTTACTGTAGCAAAACTTGAATCGGTGAAATGAACGGGGAATGTAACATTTTCTGAGAGCTTTTTACTGTAGAAACCTAAAACTGAAAACTCGAATATGTGAAATAAACGAGGCTTTAATATCTTATCTGATCCGATTGTTGAATATTCCTCCAATAAAAAAATACATACATCTCTCATCTCACTGTTGTTTTATTGATTTTTCCACATTATTTCTGTTAAGGTATACGCCTATAAATCAAATAATATGTAAATAATTTGCTGATTATTAATAAAATGAGAATTTTTTTAATATTGTTTTGCATGGTGATATTTTATAAATATCAAAATCTTAGATTATTTTAGATGTAAAGCATTGTATATAAGTGTTATATGCAGAGGATACTGTTTGAAGTAAAATAATCTAAACTTGTCCGTAATTATAAATTAAAGTTGAGATCTTTAATTTAAAATTACTAATGCGGTTCATTACATTATGAATGAAACAATCTTATCCTAGATTGGTAATAATGAGATTATTGAAATGAAAGTATTTTATGTAATATGATTACATAGGAGCGGAACACGATTAATTATGAATCTCTAATAAATTTCGTTATTAAATAGAGTATTCAATATTTATCAATGATGGTCATATATGAATTAATCTTAATTTTGAGTAATTAATAGACTCATATTTATGATATTATGTTATTTGACATATTGAGTAATGACACATGTGAATAGTATCAAAGTCTTGATATATTGAGAGCGTAGTAAAATAAATAGCGGATAATATTAATTTTCAAGATGAAATCCATTCATTTATAATGAAGTAGATGGACGGTTCCCATAAGTGTTGATTCGATGCTTAAATAATTAGAGCGCTCAATTTTATGATTGGATCATACAATATATTATTCATTAAAGAATCAACGGTACTTATGGAGAAAAAAATAATTAAAGAAGTCAACGGAAAATACCTAGCTTTAATTATGAACCGTTTATATAGGATTAATTCGTATGTAGTGACTATATCAATGGACAACACAAATTTCGTGAATATAATTATTTTATAATTTTAAGAGTGCAATTCTAAATTTATAGTGGAGTAATTTGGAATTAATAATTTTAATATATTAATTAATGTGTTAATTAATTGTTAAAATTATTAAAGCTTAAATTTATAATGTTCATAGTTTCTCTCAACGGCTCTATAAGATTAATGTGAACTATACATATCATATTAGGTTATGATTATTAATTTAGAATTGAAAATTCTAAATACATATATTAATTAATATTAAAATTAATTTAAAATTAATTTAAATTAATATAGATGAATCTAATTATTTTTACAGAAAGAAGAAAATTTTTCTCACACTCTTGTATCTCTCCACGTTTCTCATCTAAAGAATTTTTATTTATTTATTTTATTTTATTTTGGCCAATGAGGTAATAAATGAATAAAGAAATACGCACGTTTCCTCGGAAAAAAAAGAAAAGGAACTGCACGGAAAAATTGAGGAAAGAAAAAAAATATTGACTACGTTTAGAATTGATCCGTTTTTATTTTTTACGTTTTTTAAAAATAAAATAAAAATATTTTTAAAATGACGTTTGGTGTAATATAGACAAAAAATGAAAATAAAAATAATTTTTTGATTTAGTGTAAAATGAAAGAGAAATGAAAAACGACTTTTAGTCATTTTTTATTTTTTATTTTCGTTTTCTCCTCTCTCGAGCAAAGAAAAAGAGACAGAGATATTAATGAGTTTTTTTATATTGAAAACAATCTCCTGATAAAATTACCAAACACATTTTCAAAAATAATTTTTTGTCTGAGATTGAAAACATTTCTATTTTTATTTTCATACAAAAAATAAAATTATTTTGGAACGAATTCCAAATGCGCCCATTATGTTCCTCATGCAAAAGAGAGAGAAGTTGCACGTAATAAAATAAAAAGTGAGAAGAGAAAAAGACTATTGAGAGATATCACATACTTTTAAGAAAAATGAGTGATAATTATAGGTGATCTTTCCATTCATCTATCTCATGTGTTAAGAAACCCATTAGAACGTCCGTTCGAGTTCACGTTAATCTGGAGATACGTTGAGAAAGAACCGTGGTATTCTTGAAATTTAAGAGCTCAAGATGGTGTTAGAGAAGTTCAAGATTTACGTTCTAATCGAACGACGGTAAAATTTTTCTTCTCTTTAATATCTTTATAGTTAAATTAACATGAAATAATAATTGCATTTAATTTATATGATTCGATTGATACCACGTTTCCGCATAATTTTTTTAAAAAAATCTGATTTGAGAAACCAACAATTTCATAATTATAATTCTTTATTTGAGGGTGATTATTATTTTTTGATAGAAAATTTTACCATTATCATTATTATTATATTATCATCATCATCGTTTTCTAATGACTCAAAGCATTGAAAATGTTCGTCTTTTACTTAAAAAAAAAAGTTCGTCTATTTAAAAAGGAATTTTATAACAAATGACTCGTTTAGTTTGTTACTTTAAATTTTTAATTAGAATTAAGATATAATTTTATATGAGAATTTTTTATTATAATAAAAAAAATAAATGTCACTGTTTATAAGAATTTTTTATTTTAATAAAATTTAAATCGGTGAAATGAACGGAACTAAAATAAATTAACTCGCTCTCTACTCACGCGCAGGAGGAAGAAGACCATTCTAGAACTCATGCAAAAATATGTCAAAATTTTTTTTTTTCAAATATATCCATTTTCAAAAGAAAATTTACTAAAAAAACATGCAAAAGGAGGACATAATAAAAAAAAAAAGAAAAACGAAAAAAATAAATTTGCAAAAAAAAAAAAGACAGTAATTAGCAAAGACCAAAACCCAGCTCTTCTTCCGCTGTATGCGATTTTTAAAAAAAATAAAACAAAACAAACACGAAAAACATACAGAGAGAAGAAACAAGTGAGAAAATCGAATCCTTACGAACTCTTCAATCCGAGTCGGCACTGATCGGTTTCAGCCCATCTCGGCTGCGAAATCAAAGTATCCGATCGTGAAATTCCGAGTTTTCATATTAATTTTCGTTTTTTTTTTCTTAATTTGGTTCATTGAGGGATTTTAATTTTTTTTTTATAGATTTTTTTAAATTTTGGGTATTTAAATGAGAGTTCGTGATTTGGTATTGCGAGTGTCGGTTTCTGGGAAATTGGTTTCTGGGTTTTGTTTGGTTCTGTAAGTGGTTTGTTGGGCAAGAGAGGAATTTTGGGGAAATTGGAGTAGTGATGTTGGACTTTAGGGAGAGAGAACAGCTAGGGTTTTGGGGTTAGAAAAGGGGGGATTGGGAATTAGGGTTTTTGATGGTGTTGGAGATGGAAGAAAATGGCGAGCTCGAAGAAGGCGAGGCTTGCTTTGACAACGCCAATATTGACCCTGACACTGATCTCTCTTACATTGTAAGGGCGTCTTTGGTTTTTGCTTCAATCAAGTTCAATTTTTTCTTCTTGGATATTTAATGAGTAAACCTCATAAAATTAAAGTTTAGAACTTGCAAATGGTAATGGTGAATTGTAATATCTAGTGCTTGGAAAGTGCAATAAGATGAACATTAAATTGGGAGTGTTCATTTTTGTCCTTGTGTCTTCTCCGCAAAGAAAATGAAGCATTTTTAACTTTGTAAGGATCATTTTAAAGAGTTTGTGCATATAATTTGATCCTTTATGCAAACTCTGAAATTGAATCATGTGAAGTATCAACTTAACAATTGTTCCTGTTTGTTGAGTTGGGTTCACATAATTGGTTTGTCTGTAATAACAGGAAGTGGAATTTTTTCCCATAGCACAGTTCACATTTTGTAGCTAAAAATTGATGGTTAGTTTTTTATTTCATTGTTCATGATTCTGTTGATTCTACACATAGTGACGTAGCTAGAGGAAGTTTCCTCCATAACACAATTCTCTTGGAATTTTGGTTTCCATTGTTATAGTCAATGTTTGATGTTTAGGTTCTAGTTCATTCTTCATTATTCTTCATTCTATTGCTTGTACACATAGTTACATAATTTTGTCTTTTGTTTTTGTTTTCCGAAAGGATGAGAGGATCCATAATCTTCTGGGACATTTCCAGAAAGACTTTGAGGGTGGAGTTTCTGCAGATAATTTGGGTAAGCGACTTATCAAAGAAGTTATAGATTATTAAGATGAGTGTGGTTTTATTTATACATTGAAAACTGATGGGGTTTGGCTTTTTTATATCAGGGGCTAAATTTGGTGGGTATGGCTCATTTTTACCTACATATGAACGCTCCCTGACTGTTTGGTCTCATCCAAAGTCACCACAGAAAAACCAGAGCATATCCAGATCTCCTAACAATTTAACTTTGGAGGTATATGGAAAACTTTCCTCCTTGTCTTTTGGTCATTTGGTAGGAAGGAGATATATATGTTCCTGACATGTTGTCAGCTTGGGAAATTCTATTTTACTTGAGCACTATGGGTTATGTTACGATACAGGGTGCCTCTCAGGTCTTGAAAGCTCCTTCAAATGCATCCCTGTGTATGAGGCTCGGAACTTTTCCCAGCAGTGATCGTCCATTACATAATTCTATAGCACCTTCTGTGGACATTTCAGTGAAGAAAAGTTCACGCCTGCCTTCTGTCCAAGTTGCTGAAAAATGTGCTTTGAAGGATGAAACTCCAAATAGATCAGCCAACCAAACTGATCAAAGACCATTGAAGTTTCGAATTAAGATGAGTTCCGATAACTTGGCGCAAAAGAATGCAATTTATAGTGGTCTCGGCCTTGATGACTCTCCATCTTCATCTTCGGGGAACAACTCCGAGGAAAGTGGGGGGAGGCCACCTGTACCTCGAGAGACTGTGGACGAGTTCCTCACTAACATTATAAAGGTGATATTTGCACTGTTTTGTCATCATATTATGATTCTGGCAATGGATGGAATGGACCAAAATAATCCGACTGTATTTCTTGTTTATTTGATGTCTTGGAACAGGTTATGACTTCCTTTCCAATTCCTGGAGATGTAACAATATCACCTCTTCATGATAGTTTGCTTTGCTTGACTAGGGAGGAAAAGTTTTTTAAAGCAAATAAAGGGGAACATTCATTCAAGGGTGTTCAAGATAACTCTGCTATTTTAAAAAATAAACCGAGTTCTAAGCAGAGGGATGGAAAAGTGTCAAAGGAGAAGGCAAAATCATCAGGAAAAAGGAAAAGGCATACTGAAATGAAGCATGGGAATGGTACATATGTTGAGAATGACATTACTGTTCGTGAAAACATGACATCAGATAAGGAAACCATTGTAGGGAAGGAGTTTTTGTGTAATGGCTCAAAATGCACACCAAAAACCAACACAGAATGTGATGCTGGTGGTTCTGTGAAAGTGATTGGTCGGGAGTTTGAAGTTCTTAAGGACGCCAAAAATGATGAGAGGAAAGATAGATTATTTCCCTCTAAATTACGGAAAGAGGAACCATTTGAATCTTTATCTGGTCAGGACTGCAGGAAGAATGAGAAACAATCATCTATGGGTAGTTTTGTTGAAAAGATTTCAGAACAGAGATTTACGGATTCCTTCAAGGATGCTCCAAATGATCTGAGGGATGACAGCAAGTGCAAGGGTAACAAGATTTCTGTGAACTTAAAAGGATACTCTGATGTATCAAAATCAGAAGAAGGTCTAGATCTGCAGAGGAAGAATATTGGTCCAAAGAATACATTAAATGAACATGATGAAACAAATTTTCCTCGTAAGAAAGAAAAGCAATCCTTTGAAGGCAAGAATAAGTCGAAGGGGACAAAGGAAAGTTTGGGGATTGAGACAGGTGCGGTACCAAATGATAAAAAGAATATCAGGCACAGTGCTGGCCCTTGCAGTAGTAAAACGCAGAAGCTTAAGTCACATAATAGCAAGGCTGGAGATAGTAATTCCGATTTGTTGTGTGGCAAAGATCTAGAACTGACAGACATGAGACTGGATCTCGGGGAGAGACATACAGCTGATAAGCAAAAGCCTGCTAAGCTTGGTAATGTTGAAGTAGATAAGAAATCAATTTTGGATAATGCAAAGGAAACAGTAAGCGGTAAAAAGGTTGACGAGCGGGTATCTTTAAAAGGTGTTCCAGGTGTACATCCTCCTGTTATGGGAAATGGTAGCACTTCACAAGTGGAACCTGCTATAGCTTCCACCGTGCTCATTGAAGAAGATTGGGTTTGTTGTGATCGTTGTCAAACATGGCGGCTACTACCCTTTGGCATAAAGCCAGAGCAGCTTCCAGAGAAATGGTTGTGTAGCATGCAAAACTGGCTGTAAGTTCCCTCTTCATGCTGAACTGGTTTAGAGCTTGACAAAGCAGCTTCCCATTGAGACTAGTAATGTTCATGGCTTAATTTCAGTTGAATGTTAAATATATTTCTATTGCAACGCCTTTTCTCGTTGCTCTTGTTTACATGTAAAACATCAATTCATATATACATAAAAAATGTGCATATACATATATATTTGTTTATTTATTTACGCATGCTTTGGTGCCTGCTTACTGTGGTATTGAAATTATCTTGTAGGCCTGGAATGAGTCGCTGTGATTTCAGTGAAGAGGATACAACAAAAGCGCTACGTGCATTATACCAAGTACCAGTTTCAGAAAACCAGAATAACCTACAAAATCATGTAAATTCAGCAGATTTCCAACGTCTTGACCAAACCAACCTTCACCCAACCTTCCAGGCTTTATCTAATCGAGGAAAGAAGAGACATGGTTCGAAAGAGATGTCAAACCTTGGTAACAGTGATAGTCCTCAGATCTTGAATCCTACAACAAACCACCTGCATGAACCTGTCAAAAGTAGAAGCTTAAATGATATGAGCCAGTCTCCTTTAGATTCAAACCAAATGAAGAAATCAGGTTCTCAACATATGAGCAAACCATACAACTTGACCTTGGAAAAAGACATTGCTAAGGTGAAAGAAAAGCATGCTAATGGAGGTACCTATTCTATTTTAGGATCACTATTTCTTGGGTTGTTATCGCTTTCCTTTATGCAAAAGTCGGTAATCTCTGGGATTGTTCCCCTTTTTATCTCTTGCAGGGAACTCTAAGGAAACAAGGAATAAAAGCAAGAGCGATGCTGATCAATATGCATGTGAAACTTCAACGAAACCTAAGACTGAAGGTATGTACAATGCCGTCAGACATCAAGATTCTAATATTGGTTTAGGGAAGGCGGGTCCGAGTTCAAGCACCAAGGCAAGGGTGAAAGGTTTAAGAAATGGTGAATATTGTTTATCTAAAGAAACCAAGTTCGGGGCAGAGGACGCTCAAATTTCCATAAAGAAATCCGAAGACCAAGGTCGGGTCTCATCTGGAAGTGAGAGGTCCATGAAGAAAAGGAAATTGAAGGATTGGCAAGACAATCAGACACATATTGATACGTTTGATAATTCTGCATACAATGTCAAGGTACATAAGGAGGTTAGTCGTGAAAGTGGATTTAGGAAGGAAAAGAAGTGCAGAATTTCTAAGGCTGATGGAAAGGAGTCAAGTAGTAACAGTGGAAATGATAAGTTTGACAGAAAAGATAGAGTGGCCCCAATTATTTTGTCAGGTGTTAAAAGTTATCAATTTGATAGAATGGGAAAAGATGGAATTGTTGTTAAGGACCAGAAACCAAGGAAACATAGTAAAAAAGATGCATCTCAACAAGCTCTGGATGGTGCATACTCATCAAAAAAGGATTTGGGGTCTGGACATGTTTCAATGGCTGCCACTTCAAGCTCTTCAAAAGTTTCTGGTTCCCACAAAGTGAGAGGCAAATTTGAAGAAGCAAAAGGCTCGCCAGTGGAATCGGTTTCGTCATCTCCTTTGAGAACGACCAATTTGGACAAGTTTACACGAGCTGCGGGGGATGTTCTCAGGAAAGATGACGCTGTTAATGGTGGTTTCCCATCTGTGAGTAATTCTAAAAAACCCTTGGCTGCGGATGCTAATGGTGAAACTAATCGATCTGGGACCTTGAGGAAGGAGATTTCTACTAGAAAATACCAAAATGGTGATGCTACTCATGACTTCAGTGCAAAAGATGAACCATGTTTTGAAGTTGGGAGGAGCCATTTGTTTAGTGGTAATGTTGTTGATCAGCATGTTGCGGGACAGTACTATGATGAGCTTAGAGTGAAGAAGAATGATCATGAGGAGGCTTTTTCTCAGCACAAATCTTGTAAGGTGTCCACTTTGCAGTTTAAGGACAAAGACAAAATTTTGACTTCTGATTTAGATAGAGGTAAGGGTAAAGTTGCTGATCTGGTGAGTGACTACTCACAGAAGAACCAAAAATATGATTCAAAGGTTGAACCCAATCATCTTGCACCTAGTCCTGGAACAGCCACTGATGTTAAACACAGTTCTGTAAAAAAGTTGAGCATTAAAACTGTCAAGGAGGAGAAGAATAATGGTAGAAAAGATTACGCAGCACAAGGGTCAAACGACAAAGGGTTGGAAACCCAGCTAAAACGAAGAGACGATGATGGATTAGATGTGAAGTTAGCCAGATATACTACTAATGGGAAAATTGCTGAGGGCTATCCTGAAACAACTGAATCAAAAAGCAGTAAATCTAAAACTTCCTCTCATCCTGAAATTGGAGTTAAGAGAGAAGTGCCGACCCTTGGTTGTCAACCTGTGCCAGGGTCTGAAGGAGCAGGCACATTGCATACGCCTCCAATTGATGCATCCATCAATGATAAGGGGCCAAAGATGAAACATGATGGAAGTGCAAGCAACAAGATTAGAGTTAGTCACAGCTCGATTCATCTCTCGCCTGACCGACAAGGAGCTAGGGATGTTGATGCTTCAAGTCCCGTGAGAAAGTCCTCTGACGTGACAGCTACTGGTACCCTCCAAGAAGCTAAAGAGCTTAGAGACTATGCAGATCGCCTTAAGGTTTGTATGTTGCTTGTTGTCAGTTTTTTCTTTTTGTTCATAGGATTAACATGTTGCTCTTTTTGCTGCTCTCTAATTTGTAGTATGTTTTCACTATATTTACAGAGCTCTGGGTTTGCCTTTGAAAGTAGTGAGGCTTATTTCCAAGCTGCCTTAAAGTTTCTTCATGGCGCTGTACTTCTAGAAGCTTGTGGTAGTGAGAATGGAAGACATGGAGAGATGACTCAAATGCAAATATACACAACCACAGCTAAACTTTGCGAGTAAGTCTAACTTTATTTTCTGATCATATACGTCCATTATATTTCATACAACTTAACTGAGATATTTCATCTTCACAAAAACTGTAGAACCTACAATTTTTAACCTTAATGTTTAAAAGCGAGTTTCTGAGAGAGAAAAACGAGAAAAAGAAGAATAAGAAGAAACACCCATCTTGTGTTTGGAGGTTTTAAGTTTAAGGCATGTCATAATGTTGCATAATAAATATACTGAGTAAGATGTAGAAGCTTCAAAGAAACAGAGGTCAAGCTCACTTTACTATTGTGTTGTCTCAGTTTGGGTGTTGGAGGACTGGATTTCTGTTATTTTTATTATCACTGTCTAGTTTGTTGTCCATGCGGCTGTTGGGCAGCTGGAAATTTTTATTTTTACTGCATTGTTTTAAAGTTCTTATTCTTCTTAGTTGTTCATGTGTTTGGTATAATGCTGCTGCCTTTGCAATCCACAGACTCTGTGCCCATGAATATGAAAGACGCCAAGAAATGGCTGCAGCTGCCTTGGCCTATAAATGCATGGAGATTGCATACATGAGGGTCGTATACTGTAAACATTCCAGTACAAACAGAGATCGGCATGAGTTGCAAGCAACTTTGCATATCGTTCCTCAAGGTAATTGAAGGGTCTTGCGTAGGTTTGCATATTAACCTTTTGGTGCCCGTTTGGTTCATGGGTTCAACCTAGATGGTTTGAACCAAAATTCAAATTTTTATGGGGAAAAAACACTATAGCAGAACTATTGGAACTGGGGTTTGGTCTCCTTTACCAAGCAAGCACTTAATATTCCATCAAAAGAGTATTTTTTGTTCATTAGGTGATGTCCATACTTTTAAGTTTTATGTCAATGACTCAATAAGCTTGATTTCAATGTTTGCTATATTTATTGAATTATTAAAGGGGGGAGCAATCAATTAACTTACAGTGTTCATTTGCATCTAAAATTGCACAAAATGATGTGTTTCCTTACATCTCAACTTATTTCTTCAGGTGAGTCTCCATCTTCTTCTGCGTCAGATGTTGATAACTTAAACACCCAAGTGATAGGGGAAAGGACTACATTACCTAGAGGTGCTTCGCATGTTGCTGGAAACCATGTCATCGCTTCTCGAAATCGTACAAGTTTTGTTAGGCTGCTCGATTTTGTAAGTAAATTTATTACTGAGTACAATCTCCTCGTTTTGACCAAAACTTAGTTTAGTAAACAGTAGCTGCTTTACAAGGTGTTTCAGGTCAAGAACATGTTAGCTATGATAATCAATTGGAGGATAATTTCTGGTTTTGTGGCTACCAAAGTATAAGATGGTTTTTTGGGGAATATGGAAAAATTATGAATGAGGGTCGTTTGACATGCATTTGCATACATCCTTGGACCATAAATGGAGGCTCAACATCGTAAAAATGCCCTAAAAAAGGCTTTATATAATTGAGCTTCTTTAAAATAAGTGAGTTATTGGATGTTGCGGCCATGGGATCTCCGAGTAGGGGCAACAGAATTTGTTATGGCCATGCTTGTTTATAGGTGTTACTAGAGGGTTAAAAATGTTCATACGTGCTTGTTTTGCAGACTCAGGATGTAAATTATGCCATGGAGGCCTCAAGAATGTCCCAGAATGCTTTCATGGCTGCTAATGCAACCCTGGAAGAGGCACAAAATAAGGATTGTATTGCTTCTATTAGAAGGGTTATTGATTTCAGCTTCCAAGATATAGAGGAACTCATACGTTTGGTTCGACTTGCAAGGGAATCTATTAGTCGTTCTGGTTTTGGTGGTGCTAGAGACTAAGTCAACCCCTGTATATATAGCATGTTTTTTTTTTTATTTTCTCCTAGTAAACGGGCATTGGGAAAAGAAGGGGAAAGAGATGCCTATCTCTAGACCTGCCCTTGAAAATCTGCTGTGGTGGGTCACCAACAGTTCGTTACCCCTCTGTACATGTGTACAAAGTGAGATTGATTAGCAAATTTTGTAATGGTCTTTTTTTTTTTTTTGTTAATGTTAAGTTTCTATTGACGTGGATAAGGGCAGAGAGCTTGCTCAGCCTTAAGTTTTGATGGGTTGGGAAAAAGAGGAAATGGATACTTTGTTCAGAAGCATGACTGATAGGTTGTGTAACAGTTTAATGATTTTTTGGCTCCTGCCATTCGGAGCTTGAGGGAAGAAATATATTTATAGAGATTTCAAATTCTTAGGCAACCAATTTGAAGAGGTTGAATACTAATTCTGATAATTGTCAGTGTTCCGTCAATGACTTTTTGTTTGTTAATACATCTTCAAAATTTTGATGAATTCAAATTCAAAGTTCTTGGATATGGTCCTGTGTAACTGTGAATTCGCAAGATTAAGTTTTGGTTTTCATTGGATACTCTAACTTTGCAAGGGAGAGATCTGTTCTTACTTAATCTTCAGGTATGAAAATCTCAATTTCATATGTACTTTTTAGCTGAGTTTCTTTTTTATTGCAATCTATTGTTTGCAATGTTAATTTTCATGAGGGCACAGCTTGCACTTAAAACTACTTGGTTGGAACCAGTTTTATCGGTATGGTCAGCGTCTGAGAAACTCAAACGATTTGTCATGCTATATGTTATTAACATTTTAGAACATTCTGCTACTAGTCATTTGTTTCAAGGTTAGTGGTTTTTTATTTTACGTTTTTTACATTGTTCATAGCAATAAGTTTCCCATTTGTGATAAATGATCCGAGGTTTTTGTTTATCCTGCATGAATAGAATTGCTTGATGCTTGGATGGTGGGATATAGACATTCTTTTTGTTGTTGATGCTACAGCTTGTGGAACACGGAATGCAAGTGGTGAAGCTCAATTTCAGGTTTCTTTGAATTTCATAGATTCTTCTGTTTTTTCTTCCTTGTTTTATCTCTCCTATTTAGTAGTCTCTTTTATTACGCAAAATTAAGATACTGATAAGTAATTTCACAGCATGTAATACAGTGGACCTTATTGATTTACCAAGAAGTTTGTTGTTCCTTCTCTCAACAAATTTGGCCATTTATACTGAACTCGGTTTTGTTTATTTTACCTTTTGTTCTAATCACTCAGATCATGATTGTTAGAGCTGCTATTTTGAATGAACAATTACACTGCTGGATGCATATTATAGTATATTATATACAATAATTGTTTATATGTATATTTATTGATATTGGTTGCTTCGTTTGAGGTGTTCTAATTTCTAAATAACAATATGCGCTTGAACAAAAAATTGCGCAATAAGGAAATCACTCCATGGTAAGCAGACGAATATCAACTAATTTGGCATTTGGCAACCTACAAGTGAGTTTCTAAATGTTTTCCTAGCTCTGAAAAGCTCTTTTTTGTTTTTTGTTTTGTTTTGTTTTTTGTTTTTTTTTTTTTGGGTCTAGAATGAGTGTGATTTTGCATTGATTATAGTAAAAGCATGCTTATTGTTTACTATGGGAAAATACATGTAATTAATTGGCTAGCTAATTTAGGAAATTGTATTCTATTGTATCCTAGGATTAGGCCTATACAGCTAAGTTTCCTTTTTTTTTTTGGGAGTTCCCATAAATCATGGGATTTGACTTGGTAGTTTCTTAATTTAGTACTAGGTAGTTTCCTAATTTAGTGCTAGGGTTGTTATGTATAAAGCTAACCTTTGTTGTAACATGGAGAAGTGAAAAAACGATTCTTCCGTTCAATCTTTGATATGGTATCAGAGCTCTAGGCTCTCTGGGATTTCTCAATTGTTTGGCCTTCATCGCCGTTCAAAATCAAGCCTTTTCATCAGCCTTAATTGCTATGTCCGTTGCTTGACTTTCCAGTTTTCTTTTCTTTTCTCAATTGCTGTTTCTTGTCTCAACGAGCGTGTTTGGAATCCGTTCCAAAATGATTCTGTTTTTTGTATGAAAATGAAAACGTTTTTAATCTCAGACATAATTTATTTTTGAAAATGCGTTTGGTAGTTTTATTGAGAGATTGTTTTCAGTATAAGAAAAAATTGAAAACTTCTTAATTGCTCACTAGTATCCAACAAACAAAATCATTTTGCTTTGGACGGTGGCTGAAAACATTTTGCAGGTCACCCAAACCCAGATTTCCCATATCTCCAAAGGATCAAATGAGGGGCAATAACATCTCTCCTCTTCTCTCTCTATCTCGACAAAATCTCTTTATCCCCTCTATATCTCTCCGTTTACCCCCTTTCCCTCTCCTGTTTGCACAACCCCCTTTTTCTCCTCGACCCAAATCCGGCGAGCCAACTCCGCTATCACCAGATCCGGCAAGCCAACTCCGCAACGCCTAAATCCGATGAGCCAAGCTTCGCAACTCCCAGATCCCGACGAGCCCAGCTCTGCCACGTCCAGATCCTGAAGAGCCCAGGCCCTAATCACGTCGCAATCATGCCAAATCTAGTCGGAATTTCGGATTCAGTTGCATCAAGAGAGAGATCTGTTTTCTTGAAGATTTACCATTTTCATTTGTTTGGTTTTGTTGATCTTGATCTGTTGATTAATTTTCTGTTTGATCTTGATCTGTTTGGTTTTGATGATCTGGTTACGTAAATTAATGTTAGAGAAGGGAGAGATGAAAATGAAAATGAAAAAGGAAAAAGGGCCTTTTACCGTTTTCAAAAAGTAACGCAAAGAAGAGAAACGGGGAAGAGCATTTTCCTTTCCGTTTTTAATTATTAATGCACCAAACGTGATTTGAGGACCAATTTCATTTTTAACGTCTCGATTGTCGTGAAAAACAGTTTCAAAACTGATTCCAAACACGCATAACGTTTTTTCTTGGTTTTTATTATCGATTGAGATTCTCGATTCTCTCAATCTCCCATCGTTGTTCTTCTCGCCGTTTCCCTGATTTTCAATCATGTCAGAGACGACTGAAAGCAGTGCCAACAACACTACGGTGGTCAAATCAACGGAAAACAGGATGAACTCATCAACGGGAGATTTGTAAAATATTCAGGCAGCCTACGGGTTGGATGGAAAAAACTACCTCAAGTGGTCTCAACTTGTTCGTGCAACGCTGAAAGGAAGGGGGAAGATTAGTCACCTCACAGGTACAGGGCCGAAAGGAGGAGATCCTCGTTTTGAAGCATGGGATGAAGAAGACTCCATGATTATGGCGTGGCTATGGAATTCTATGACTCCAGACATAAGTGACACATGTATGTTCTTGACTACTGCCAAGGACATTTGGGACGTGGTCCAACAAACATATTCCAAGGCTAGAGATGTGGATCAAGTGTATGAAATCAAGGTGAAGAGGATGGCTGCAAAACAAGGGACAAAAACTGTCACCGAATATGCCAACCAACTGAAGTCCTTGTGGCAAGAGCTTGATCTCTACAGGGTAATAAAAACTAAGTGCCCTGAGGATGCGGCTGTGCTAAAGAATTTTATTAAACAAGATAGGGTATATGACTTTCTTTGTGGACTCAACCCAGAACTCGATCAAGTGAGAATCTAGATTCTCGGCAAGGAGGAGATTCTATGTTTTAATGAAGTGGTGGCACTCATTCAAGGTGAGGAAAGCAAGAGAAGTCTGATGTTTGAATCACAAAGCACAGATGGATCAGCTATGGTGGCTAGTGGTAGCAAATCAATCTAGAACACGGATAGAGGAGCAACCCTTGAAGCAGGAAGAAATAGCTAATTGAAGACTCAGAACTGTGATGAATTATGGTGTACTTATTGCAAAAAGCCTCGCCACACTCGTGAAAAATGCTGGAAACTTCATGGAGATTAGACTCGGAGCAATGGACCTCCAAGCCGTGAATGGAGTTAGAAAGGAGATCAGTCACGGAGTAATGGACAAGTCCATATTGTTGCCATACCACAAGGTGAATCCGCACCTCAGGGGTCGAATAATCTCAACCAGGAGGGGATTGAGAGGGTGAGATCTCTTATCAACAGTCTTGAAAGACCTCCAGGTCCTTGTTCTTTGGCATATTTAGGTAAGTTTCCATCTTCCTTTGGATTAAATGCCTCGGATATAACCTTTATTAACTCTTGGATCATGGATTCAGGAGCTACCGACCATATGACCCACTCATCGAAGTTTTTCTCAACCTACACTCCATGTCCCAATAGTAGGAAAAACTTGTCTCTATACAAAAACTGTAGCCGGTGTAGGGGATGTCAAAATAAGCCCATTAGTGACCTTAAGGAATGTCATTCATGTTCCTAAATTGTCCACCAACCTTGTCTCTATACAAAAACTCACTCAAGATTTAGGTTGTAATGTGGTTTTTCACAGTAGTTATTGTGTATTTCAGGACAAGGATTCGGGGAGGACGATTGGACGTGCTAGAGAATGGGATAGCCTCTACTATCTTGAAGCACCGAGTCAGTTAAACATGACCAAGTGCAGATTTTCTCATTCCTTCATATCAGAGTCCGTTTCATCCAATAAAGAGAAAATTATACTTCATCATTGCCGTTTAGGACATCCATCATTTAGGGTTGTTAAGATCATGTTTCCTTCATTGTTTACAATTTTAGATGTTGAAGATTTTCATTGTGAGGTGTGTGAACTTGCTAAACACAAGCATGTATCTTTTCCAATTGGCAATAAAAGAAGTTTTATTTCTATCTTATTCACAATGATATTTGGGGCCCATCTACTGTCCCTAATGTTTCTGGGGGAAGATGGTTTGTTTCTTTCATTGATGATTGCACTCGTGTTACCTGGCTTTTTCTACTCAAACATATATCTGATGTTAGTACTGTACTCCCAAACTTATGTTCCATGATAAAAAATCAATTTGGGGTCAATATCAAAAGGTTTAGGTCAGATAATGCTAGGGACTTTCAACCAAATCTTAACCCATACTTTCAAAAAGAGGGAATAGTTCACGAGTCATCTTGTGTTAATACCCTACAACAAAATGGGGTAGCAGAAAGGAAGTCACCTACTAGAAAAAACCACCCGAGCCATGTTGTTTCAGAAATGTCTAAAGTTTTTTTGGGGGAAGCAGTTCTTACAGCCACTCATCTCATAAATCAGTTGCGTTCTCAAGTATTGGGTTTCAAGAGTCCCATGGACATCCTTTCATCTTTTT